TAGTGCAAAGTAAACTAAAACTCAGAAACACAAAGAGTAAGAAAAATGATTAATAAGACAAAATGACATCAAAGAGAAAAAAATCAGTATAAGTAATACTATTTCTTAGAAAATTCAATGAAATTGACAACCTTATAGATTATCAGAAAAGTTGGTTTTCACCGACCAAAATTACAGACATGGCTTATATGGGCCTTTCTGACATTAGAGGAATAATGTAATTTTATAAAAACCTTAGACAAATAAATTTGATATATAGACAAAAATAGAAAAATTCCATGATGAAATGATGAAACTGACACCAAGAGAAATAGAAAATACAAATTCTCTAAAGACCTGACTTCAGTCTTCTAACCATTACCAGAAAGAAAGTTCCAGATTATTTGTTTCACCGATAATTTCTCTCAAATATTTTAGAAATTTTTCCCCAAATTTAGGAATATTTTCCAAATGACTTGTATTACTCACATCCTACAGTTATGCAAATATATGATAATGAAACTAAAAGTAAGGAATTCTCATAGTAGAAAAATCATTAGCCAAGTATTAGCAACAGAAATCAAGCAAAATTTTTAAACTACAATATATTATTTAATTATGCAGAATGGTATAACCTGTAAGTACATTCTTGATTTAACATTCAATTGTAATTAATATTATTTACCATGTTAAAACAATACTAAAGAAGATCAATAAGATTATTTCCATAGATACAAAACTAAATTTTCAAAACTCAATACTTACATTAAAATATAAATTCTTGTTATCAAAGCAGTGATCTTGCTCACCATAATGAAAACCATTTATAAACATTCAAAGTTAAAGATCATTATATTGATTGGGTGAAAAAAGATACAAATAAGTATACATGATAAACTTTAAAAAGTTAATACTCTAGTTATGGATATCAAAGCAAAAGAAGTGAAAAGTTCTAGATAAAGAGATTACTATCTTAGATTAGAAAACTCAGTGTTATTACGCTACTAATTCTTTACAAATTCATCTACAGTCAGCACAATTATGTTATTATCTGGCTAGATATTCGTTGCCAGTTATCAAATTGATGTGGATATATGTAGTTTCATATATCTAAAAGAGCTACGGGATTCTCTGAAAGAAGATAAAAAAAACTGGGATTGACATTTTCAATATTCAGAGGTTACTATGAATAGTAACTATAAATAGTGGTTTTAGTGACTGGATAGACAAGTCCATAAAATAGAATGCACTCTGGAAATGCACATGTACATATTCATCAGATGACTTTTGACAGTGCCACAAGGCCATTAAGAACCTAAACCAAGTGTGGATTAAAAGTGATACTCAGGCTGGAAACCTTTAGGTGTCTTCTGATACCTAGATATTTGCACCATAACATACAAAAAGTAAAAAAAGAATGAATGATAAACCTAAGAGTAAAAGGTCAAAGTGAAATGTCTAGAGGACCATCCAGAGGAACATCCTCATGACATAGACATATGCTCTCATATGAGTTTAAAGTATATTCTCCAGGTAATAAGTTTTGTGTGTGTGTGTGTGTGTGTGTGTGTGTGTGTGTGTGTGTATGTGTATGTTTGTCTGCTATAATAATTGGAAATTTATGAAATATAATTATCTTTTTCATTCCCTGCTTCTAGTGTGGTTCATAAAAATATTTCTTAATTCTAATATTAAATTGAATTTTCTTCTAAGTATATATTTCCAATTACTTATAATCTTCCTCACTGCATCTTAAATATCAACAATATAAACTGATTCTCACTCTCAAGTAGATTTCAAAATAATTCCTTGTCTAGCATTCATATTTTAATGTCAATATCACAGTGTCTCATTATAATCTCAAATCTTTATATACCACAGTGTCTCATTATAATCTCAAATCTTTATCTAGTACTGTTATTGTTACTTTTAGTTTTAATGTTTCTAATTGTTTTATCATGTGTGTTTATCTTGAAAATATAATTTTGCAATGCATTTCTGACATGGTATTTACCATATAGCTATATAGTAGTATAACTGAGCTCTGACATTTACAGAGTTCTAAATTTCCTCTGTAACAGAGAAATCAGAAAAGAACTAAAATGTAAGAAATACATAGAACTAATGTCAATTATTAAACTCTACTAAAAATCAATTAAAATTTACTTAAGTTATCTATACATACTGCTTCAATTATTTCAACCTTAGAATTATGTTTTAATTTCAAAAATACTTTTGTAATCTGTCTTATTGAGAGTATGCTTATAACATTTGCTCTTTTATCTAAATGCAATTTATCTATTCAGTAAGTTGAATTTGGACTGATCAATAGTTGTGAAAATAGTTCTGAAAATGGCTTGTCAAGTTTATTCTAAGGAATTTATATTATTCAGTAATGCTGTTGACTGAAATAAGTTTCACAACATAAAAAAGTATTTATTTTGTAACATGCTAATTTTTCTTACTGTTTATTATAAAACTTTTGTTTTCTTACAACTGCATATTCCCCATCCTCGATATATAAGCTAAAGTCATAAGAGCAGCATTTTTTAAAAAATTCTTTAATCTTTGTTTTACAGTCCAGTCTTTTCCCCCTCCTGGTCCACCCTCTGACTGTTCCACATCCCATATTTCCTCCCCCTCTGCCCACCATGCCAGTCCCCAAGAGTATGTCCCAACCCTCACCCCCACCCCACCAGAACTCCCCACTCCCTGGGGCCTCAAGTCTCTTGAGGATTAGGTTCATCTTCCCTCGTTGAGTCAAGGCCTGGCAGTCCTGTGCTATATAATATACTTCAAAAATTATCTATCTTGATGATTTTAAATTTCAGTTTTAAAAACTGTGAACTAGAAATCCTCATGGATTTTTCTATTGCCTATGGATCAAAATTAACTTTGATATTCAAATACATAATGATGATGGCATGAATACTTTGTGTGTTCATCTTCCTGTCGATTGGTACAGTTTTGTCAATTCTATTATTTTTTATGGATTTCTAAACATAGACATAGCCTGTGGTATGTAAAGTGCAAGACCCAGTGAATGACAACATATGAATGCACTTGTTTTCCAACTCTGTTATTCTCACTTTAATCATTGTAGCTTATTTTGTGCCACCCTCTGTAGAAGTAATTATTTAAAATCAAACCACTGGTCAGTCGACTATCTATGCTGCAGCGGCTCTGCCTAGCTCAGCTGCCATGTTTCTTGGCCAGAGGCCACTTGCGCGCTGCAGCTAGAAAGGCCTGCCAGAAACACCAGCCCTGCCACACACGAGATGCCAGAGTGGGAGACAGCTCTGCCAATCTCTCACACTATTTCCGCAAGGCTGGGCCCAGTAGGAAAATGAGACTCTAATGCTTAAATTATCCGAAAGCTTATATATTTGGTAATGATCAGTAACAAGAGGCCCATACAATCAGAAGTGTAACCCAATACCCAACCTAGATATACCAACTACCTTTGACTGCTACAGACACGTGAACATCCGCCTCCATCGCTCCTACATCTCTCTCTCTCTTACTCCTCCTCTTCCCTTTCCTCTTCCTACTCCTGCTCTTCCTCTCCTTACTCCTCCCACATTAGCTCCTCCTATACCCTTGAATGTCTGAAGTCCCAGAAGATGGCCGCTCCCCTCTAACGTCTTTGAGATTCATCTTTTTGATGCATCATTTATTTTTCTGTGCTCTATAGTTTTCATGATCGCTACTTTACAGTACGTATATATCAGAAACTTCTATTTGTAGCTTTAGTGATAGGCATATGGACAAGATAACATAATTTCTTCTGTAAAGGAGAGAGAGAGAGAGAGAGAGAGAGAGAGAGAGAGAGAGAGAGAGAG